CCGAGAACTATCGTCTCTTGACAGAATTTAAGTATCTCTCTGAGCGCTCTCGAGCCCGGGCATCCACCAGCGCAGCGCAACTACATACACCGGAACTGAATTTGCTAAGTCCGGCACGTCGCAGGCCAAAGTCAGGAACTCATCAAACCTTCCTGCACAACAGACCTGGCAAAGACTTACTGGTGCTTTCAGGGAGAGTGGGGGAGCGGATCCCTAGATCATCCCCATATGTTGCCCTATAAAGGTACCTGTATTCACTTCCCCACTCCCCCTTAAGCACCAATAGGGTGAAGCAAGATTGAAACCTTTGACCCTCCCACAAATAAACATTACCCCCAACGCAGGGGAGAATATGACTCCTTCAGGATGTGGGAGCTTCTCAAGGTTAGGGTCCTACCCAACACAATGAAGTAACAGTAAAAAGGGACTACAGGTTAGACCACAGGTCTGAATTGAGCGTTCTCCTACCTATCTTATCTACAGAGCTCACAGAACCTGACCCCCACGCCCTGTCCACAAGGCAGACCAGCATGACCCTCCTAAGTACTACTGCTGAAGGAAAGAAAAATCTCCTGATATACATTATAAGCTCTAGGCTCTGGGAACTAAGGCATTGTAGGCTGCTTAGACTTGTTTAGACTTGCTTAGGGCCTACAGCCACGCAGGTTGCAGCGTGTCCAGAAGCCAGAGCATCTTGCACAACCTCTCTACTCCGGGGTGGCCTGAAGGCGTTTAGGGTCCGGGGGTTTTGAGGCTTGGGACATTTTTCTAGCCTACCTTACGGAGTTCAGGACCCCAGAAACTCAGCCGGATCTTTGAAAGCACTCACGGCGACGGAGCCTGTCAAGCTAGTTGGACCTGCAAAACTACCACAAACAGAACCTGATAGCGCTGCAAGATAAGACGAAACCCCAGCCGCCCGAACCCAAGCCTAGCAAAAGTTATCTTAACTGACAGATCTTGCAGCCCTACACAGCGCAGTTCTGCATGGGTAGATGACCCCAATCCTTCCTGTCACTCTTTGGGCACCCCACCACGCGCGCACCGAGCTGCTTGAGCTCCTCAACTGACCGCTTAACATCTTCAAGACCAGAATCTTTTTTATCATAGGACTTGGCATGGTACTTTGGGGCGATTCTGTACGGCGTGTACAACAAGAACCTTGAAGAAGGGGAGAAAAGCTGAGCCAAGTTGTTGAGCTCAAGAGTGCAAATAAGTGGGATGGTCGCAAGGTCTAAACCCCAAGCCCTGGTGTTTGGATTTGTCACAATTGCCTTGCCTGAAGGTGTAGCAGATGGTTGGCCACACCTTTAGAGTCCTTGCCAACAGGGCGTTCATACTTCCATCTAATCCCCCTCCCCCAGAGAGCTAAGAGGGAGCCCCACTCCTCAGGACCCCAGCCATCTAATGAGGCTAATTCGTCTCTACATGCAAGGCGTGCATCCCTAAGGGGCGGGGTGGGTCCTCACGAGGGGGTTGAAACCATTCTCATGATACTGCCTTGCCCTTAGCTGGGTCTTCTGGGATGGATGGTCCCCCGGACAAGCTCAGTGTCAGTTTGAGAGGGTACGATATCCGGTTCCATCTTCGTTTAATGGAGTTCCTTAGCACTACGCCCTTTTTGGCATCTGGACTCCGGTAGGCTCTGCCAGAAAGTCGGCCCAAGGGACACGAGCAATCCGTTCTGAAACTCACAGCATGGGACAGAGCTACATTGTTGAAATTAAATTCACAAGCTATTCAATCACTTTGAACGTAAACCTCACCCCCTAAACCATAAACCCCTAGCCCTAGACCCAAAACCCTACGCCCAAACTTCTAAATCCTGATCCCAAGTGCCACTCTCACTTGAGATGCCAGGACACTTTCCACAAAATTGCAGGCTACAATCCAAAGAGATTAGTGTTCATGGCTGAGGAATGAAACAGGGTGCCATTAAGGTGTTGGGTTTTTTTGGGTTTAGGGGTTTAGGGGTTTAGGGTTTTAGGGGTTTAGGGTTCAGGGCTTAGGGTAATCGAAGGGCAACAGTTTTAGGGTTAATTTAAGATCGCACAGCGGCTATCTACCGTGAGCCATACCGCCCACCCTCCCCCAAACTAACATAGAAC